ACCAACGGTTCAGGGGCGTTCTCTCAGTAAATGAAGGCACGATCGGTTTGGAAATCTTGGACGACGTCGCTGAAGCGGTTATCGACGGGGATGAAGATCCCGCACGCAGTCTGTCGGGTTCCATTCACATTCTACCGCTGCCATCCCGTCAGTGCGAGGCTCGCAGACCACCGCCGCATCCCGTGTTTGCACCAGAAGACGGGGAGTCAACTGTAGAGGAGACCAAGCCGGCCAAGAAGAGTCACAAGTCCAAGAAAGAGACATCCAAGAAGGAGAAATCCAAAAAGGAGAAATCCAAGAAGGAGAAGGCCAAAAAGGAGAAGTCCAAGTCCAAGAAGGAGAAATCCCCAAGGGAGCGTTCGCCTTCGCTTAACAGCGCAATGCAGTGCTCTCGGCCAGCTCCGAAGCGCTACTTTCGCTTCGATCTCACCGTGGGTACTCCACAGGACGTTGCCGACGACTTGGAAGCCCTCTTCAAGGAAGCGGCGCTCAAGGACGTAAGCGTGCACGAATTGGCCTACCCATGGACCGACTCCGAGGTGTGGTATGATCAGGACGCCTTCTTCCACATCCACGTTGAGCATGGCGCTGGTGGATGAAGTTCCGTCCGGCGTTCTTCGACTGGCAACTGAATATTCCATACCGGTCGCAGCAACTCCTAAACAGTCTTCGAAAGCTCAAGATGCAGGCTCACATTGCTCGGATCAAGTTCCTCAGCATGTGCATCGAAATGTGGGGCTATTTCGGCTTCCTGAGTCAGTTCGAGGCCTGTACTAGCAATCGCCGACTCATGTGGATGGGTGGGCAGCCTGGGCGGAACACAGGAGACGCCAAATCGTATTACGGTCCGGTCATCGAGAACCTCCGCGAGCTGTTGCGGCGGGATCCTGACGCTTACACGGGGAAGATGAAGAGCGCTCTCCAGCCGTTCCGTCTCGATGAAGGGGGATTCACCAATGTGACTTCGCTTTTAGTGAATCTCGGAGCCGTAGATCCGAACAATCCCAAGAAGGAACATCGGTTGAGCGATCGAGCTCTAGCTCGAGTCCTTCATGACATCATCTCACGCCGTAAGGGTCAATCGTGGTGGTTCGGAGTAAGATGGCCCTGGGATAGTCTTCGAAACTGTGCGAGAATTGTCCAGCGTGAAGTGAAAGAGGCAAAAGCCTTGCGCGAAGGCACGTACCGGGAGCCCACAGCTCCAGCCTACGATGAACGCGAATTACAACGTACGGGTTGGACCCACTTCATGTTTTCGGACGCTACTTTCGCGGCGAGAGGGCCAGGTCAGGTCCGAACATCCAGTGTAGGCGAGGACGAAACCGAAGAGAAACCACCGGCTACAACGGCGTCTACGAGCGAGGCCACTCCTGTCTCCGCAGAGGACGAGCCTCCTACATCTTCCGCAACTAATAGGGAGCGCTCCAGCCAGCCT